TTTCAGCTGTTGTGAAGAATGCAGCAATATACATGAATGTGCAAGTATCTCCGTGTATTTTGACTATAAGTGGGTCATAATTTAGTTCTATTTATCTATTTATTTATGTGTTTCTGAGTGTACATGCAGGTGTATGTATAGACAGTGTAACTGTATTAATAATTGGAGACTAGGATCCCACATCAGATATTCTCCTCTATCTTCAATCTGTCTATTCCTCTGAGTTAGGCTCTCTTTTTAACCTGGGACTTGTGTGTTCTCAGGTAGACCAGAAGCCAGCAAGCCCCAGTGATCCTCCTGTCTCCATCCCCTTTGGAGCTGGGGTTATAGGTGTGTGCAGGATTCCCACCTTGTTATGTGGATACAGGATCCAAATTCAGGTCCTCATGATTAAACAGCAAGTGCTTTTAACTGATAGGCCATCTCTCTAGTCCCCTGATTTTAGTTTTTTGAGGAACCTCCCTCCACACTGTTATGGAAGCTTTTAAAAATAGTTAATATTCCATTTTACCTTTGTATCATTTGACATTTTCAAAAGTTATGTGTACATGCGTGTATCTATGTGCAGATGTATGTACATGTTGAATGTAGATGCCCTCAGAGTCCAGAAGAAGGTGTCAGATCCCCTGGAGCTGAAATTACAGGTGATTGTGAGCTGTCCAACATGGGTTTTGGGAACCAAACTCCAGTCCTCTGCAAGTGCAGTACAAGCTCTTAACCTCTGAGCTCCATACCACTTTGTATCTGAGGAGGAGAGGGTGTGTTATAGATGTTTCATTTAGGGCTGAGCACTCCACAGTCTCTCATTTTTGCACATTGACCAGTTGTGAATCTCATTGACATCTGCTGCAAGAACGAACTTAAATGTCCTGTGATACATACCCGTAGAAATGAAATAATGTTATATAATCTGATTATTTTCAGTTTCAGTAAGTAGCCAGTTTACCAGAATGGTTGTATTACCGCTTTTTCATAGGAACATCCATTTTATAATGAAAATGTATTAGAAATAATTTGTCCCTTGACAGAGATTATGTATATAGATAGCATTAGACGTATGTTCTAAGGACTGGAGGGATGACTTAGTAGTTAAGAGTTCATACTGCTCTTGCAGGGAAACAGAATTTGGTTCTCATCACCCATGTCAGGTAGCTCAGAAGTGCCTGTAACTCAGTTCTGGGAGAATCTGATCCCTGGCTTCTAGGGACACCTGCACTCATGTATACATATACACACAGAGACACATAATTAAAAATAATAAAAATAAATCTAAAATTTTTTTCTACATAGTTCTTGTTAAAATACTGTGTTGATGATCACTTAATACAATAAAAATCACAAAATATAGCCAATTTATAGAGACAAGATTTTAAAAGAATAGTTGTATGCGCTAGTTAAGCCTTTTTGAACTAATTAAGCTATTTTCTATAAGAGTTAGATACTGTTCTTTACATGGAACATAAATTGAATCTACAAAGTAATTAAATCATTGTGATTTATTTTTTATAAATGTTCATGATTTATACAGGTTTTATATCTGGATTGAACAAAGATGGAATTGAAGCAAAATTACAAGGTTAGATGTATTTTATTCTAAAATATACATATTCTATAAATTTTGATGAACAACGTGAATTACTAAAGAAGTAAGGGTATGCTTTTTAAAAAAATACTTTTATTTTATGTGTATGCGTGTATTGCCTGCATGTAGGTAAGTGCACCCATGTCGTGCAATGCCCAAGGAGGACAGAAGAGGCTGTCAGTTCCCCTGGAACTGGGATTAGGACAGTTGTTACCTGCATGTGGGTGCTGGGATTCAAACCCGGGTCTTCTGCAAGAACAACCAGTGTTCTTAACTGCTGAGCCATCTCTCCAGCCCTACTTTTGTAAATTTTTTTAAAGTAAACTTGTCTGAAGAAACAATGTTCAGTCATTTATTTTTCACACATAAGTAAAGCTTGGCACATATGATTTTTCTAAATTTATCTATGAATTTTATCAAAATATCTTTCTATAATATGTTACCCTGGCTTATTTGGGTTTTGTTTTTGAAATGACCTTGGGTTTTGACAATGTTGCCAATAGATTAAACCCTTTTTTTTCCTTTTTTACTTTAGTTAATTGAATATATAATCCTAGGTTTATTATGGGGTTCTTATCCTAATATGTACCAATGATGTATTCCTCTCCCTCAGCTTTGTTGTTTATTTGACTTGAATGTTTTGTTGCCTGTTTTTTAAAGTATAAAACTATCATTAAGGGCTTATTAGAATTAAACATTGCTACCTCTTCATTGTGTTGAGATGTTCAGTAAAAATAAAGAATTTTGGATCCACTAGAAATAACTTTAATTTATCCTCTGGATATTTTTATGTGCCAAGTAGAAATGCAGAAATAAGAATAAAGTAATGAATTGTCTTGCTTAAAGAATAAGTATGTTGCCGGGCGTGGTGGTGCACACCTTTAATCCCAGCACTTGGGAGGCAGAGGCAGGCGGATCTTTGTGAGTTCAAGGCCAGCCTGGTCTACATAGTGAGTTCCAGGATAGTTGGGGCTACAAGGAGACCCTGTCTCATAAAAGACAAAAAAAAAAAAAAAAAAAAAAAAAGAGTAAGTATGTTGCTGCGTGTGTGGCATATACCTGTAATCCCAGTACTTGGGAAGCAGAGGCAGGAGGATGACTGCAAGTTTGAGGCCAGCCTGTTCTACATAGTGAGTTCCAGCTTGTTTGGGGCTATAGTGAGATCCTGTCTCAAATCAAACCAAACCAACCAAACAAAAAAAGAATAAATATGCTATTGAAACATGGTGGCAAGTAATCACATATATTTATAAATGCTACTGTTAAGATTTAAATTTGTAAAATAGCTGCATTATTCTCTTGAAAATTTTTTGTAATTGAAATTTTAAAACTAAGGCATGTATTTTGATGCTAATGATAAATTATGCATAAGAAATCAGATAGGCCAAGGGGTATCTTGCTATATTCTAATAACTTTAATGTTTTACTTTTTGTTGGCAGAACTATCATTCGTGTTTGCCTTATTTTTCTTTATTACTTCTTTAGATAAGTTTTGCCTATATAGAAAAACAGCTGCTTATTATATAAATAAATACATAAAGTTCTGGTATTGTAGGAGAGGAAAATAGTACATTTTCTCATTCATTGCAAGATCCATGGCTGATACCCACTAACAAAAGATAGATTAAGCCAGGCGTGGTGGTGCACCCCTTTAATTCCAGCACTTAGGAGGTAGAGGCAGGTGGATCTCTGTGAGCTCAAGGCTAGCCAGGGCTACATAGCAAGACTATGTCTCAAAAAAAAAAAAGGGCTGGAGAGATGGCTCAGCGGTTAAGAGCACTGACTACTCTGCAGAGGACCCAGGTTCGATTCCCAACACCCACATGGTGGCTGCAGACTGTCCTTAACTCCAGTTCCAGAGGAATCTGAAGCCCTCTTCTGACTTCAGCGGCATTGCACGACACGGGTTCACTCGAATACATGCAGCAATGCACTCATACACAAAGAATGGAAATAATAAATAAAATATTTTTTTAAATAAAATAAACCTTAAAAAAATAAACGTGGAAAGTTTAATAACGAACCAGACATTTGCATGCCTTTGAAGTGCCTCTTAAAATTCTCATTAATTACAAAGGGCTAAAGAGTAATTCTAGTGGCGAAGCCCAGCAAACACCTTACATGACAAAGGGAGCATCCTCAGAACCAGGACAAGCTGAAATCAGAAGCAAGCTGATAGGATGCAAGAACCCAGCTGCTCTTTGCTTGACACTGTGCCAAGGACACATGACCCCAGTCTGGTCAGAGGGAAACCTCAGGCAACCCCAAACTGAAGGTCATCCTGCCAAATAACTGGCCCATAATCTTCAGGTGGGTAAAAGCCATGAGTGTTAAAGGGAGTGTTGGGAACTGTTTCAGGCTGACAGAGACTAAGAGACAGTACAACCAAATGCAAGGAATTGGTATGGTTTGTGTCTTTGTTTGCAAAGGTGTGCATCAGAGGTGCTAGTGTGTGTGTGTGAGAGACAGACAGAGACAGAGACAGACAGACATATACACAGAGTATCATGTCAAGAAGTTATTCAGCTCCTTCACCTAGCTGGCAGCATAGAGACCACACAATGCCTGGAGTTACTGTGAAAAACATAAATCAACGGAAGTTTGTCAGAGTTCTGGCAGCCTTCCTCAAAAAGTCTGGGAAGCTTAAAGTCCCCAGATGAATGGACACAATCAAACTGGCCATACATAGTTTGCTCCCTATGATGAGAACTGTTTCTACACATAAGTGCTATCACAGTGTGGCCTCTGTACCTCTGGGGTAATGCTGGGCTTGGCTCTGTGACCAAGATATATTGAGGATGGCAGAGAAATGGTATCAGGCCCAGCTACTTCAGTAGAGGCTCTAAGAGTGTAGCCTGCTGCACTCCAAGCCCTGGACAGGCTGAAAGTGGTAGAAAAGGACCAAGATGGTGGCCACAAGCTGACACCTCAGGGACAGAGAGATCTGCACAGAATCACTGCATGGGCAGCAGCTACCAAGAAGCAGCATTAGAACAAAGGATGCGAGTTTGGGAAATTGCCTCATTTCTTAGAAAGGAAGGAATGAAGAAAGAAGAAGGAAGGAAGGAAGGAAGGAAAGAAAGAAAGAAAGGAAGAAAGATCATTTTCACAGCGTCCACTGAAGTGGAAGGAAGGAAGGAAGGAAGGAAGGAAGGAAAGAAAGAAAGGAAGAAAGATCATTTTCACAGCGTCCACTGAAATGGTCAGCCTGCAGGAGGACCAGAGACACGGAGGCTCAGAAACACCAGGCTCTTGGCAGTCCTTATCCAACTCCAGGTTATGCCCTCTACACCCATGTCCTCAGCCTAAAGCTTGTCATTCTACAGAACTGTCTTAATCAACCTAAGTCCAGATTAAGTGGATATGTATGGATTGCTTTTCTACTAGAAAATGAGAACATTTCTAGAAAATCTTTCCTTTTATGAGGTTTTGAATTATTTGTTACACATATAGAAATGAATGTTTATCTTAATCTCATATACTTAAATGTTCTTTTTAGCTCTAGCAGTTTTTCTATAGAGTCTCTTGAGTTTTCTGCAGGAATAGCTTTATGGTCTATGAACTCACACATGGGGGAAATAGTCACATACACACTTAAGGGAGAACAGGCTAGTTATATAGGATTAGGCACTAGTCATTCTACTTGAACCACACAGAAAGCTGGGAAGTAGGTGGGCGCTGAGTCCCACCTGAACGCTAGGATGTCCCTATAACTTCCCAGTGGTTTGCACCAATAAAATGCCCCCACTTAGCTCTCCTCCATGGAGGCCTCAAATAGAGCAAATGGTGTAAAACACACAGATCTATGTTCTGAGTGCCTGAAGTTGGATCTTAAGAGCCTAAACTTGAGGAAAACAAAGATCTGACAACAGCTCCAAAGCAGGGCTATCTGAAGGAGATTACCAGAATCTAGGAGAACCATGCCAGGGAGATAAAGGACACACTGAACCTTCCAGATCCTGGCAACCACTTTGTGTACTGGCAGGAAAGCTATTTGTGTAATTCAGGAGGAACTTGTTATCAGGAGCCCAAAAGGAATGGCGTAAAGTATAAGTTTACTTTCTAAATAAATGTAGGGGGAAAGAACCGCCAAGCAATTTGGTACAGGAAGCATTTGAAACGAACACATTCATAGGCGCCTGGTTAAATACTGCCATCCAGCCCAGTATGTCACAGTACTAAAAAAATTCTGCTCAGTTTCCAGAGAGAGGAAATGGCAGCAAGGAAGTCCACAGCCTAGGGTAGTGGCAGCTCACACTGTGATCTCTGAGAGCTGTTCCTTGGTCAGGTTCAAGGGTTGGCTGATAATGGTGATTCCATGTTCCTCAGGGTTCCTGTCCTTGGGCAGACTAGCCCATAAGATGGCGTTGTGGGCCACGTTCAAAAAGCTGACCAGGGCATGCCAGCCTTTGTTGTTAAACCACACTTAGAGGGCAGAAATGGGCTTGGTTAGGCTGGGCTACAATCCCAGACCCCTAAGACGGGGCACTAATAGAGGCTGTTTATAAAGAAAAAACCAGCAATGGCAAAATGAACATGCAATGGAGGAAGAATTTGGCAACTGGCAGACATTCCTGGCTAGTTTTCAGCCAGGAGGGGTGGAATTTAATTACACAGGGTAAACAGGTAAAATAATGAGTTCACAGGAATTTTCAGCTTCAGGTCAGGTACCTTAATGTTGTCTTTGGTTTCAAGACATTTAAGGAACTCTAACATTTCTTTAGCAGCCTCTCCGGTGACAGGACCCTAGAGAACCATAGTATGCGAAAGAGTTTTTTTTTTTTTTCTTCTATAGTACACATAATTTATATTTCCTAATATTTAAGCAAGTCAAGAATCCTACCCAAATTTCCAGTCTGTTTACATATCCCGCTCACATTCATCATCTGGCCAAGGTCGCTTAAAAACCAACAAGTGCTTCCCCAGTGATGGGGAGGGCTGGGAGCTCTCCTCCAATGGAGATTCCTCCATACCTACAAGGCAACAAGAAAACCTCTTGTCAATGCCATGAAGCTCATACCTATCTGTGGCTCTCTTCAGTTTCTATAGGGTGATGTGTACTTTGGTGGGGGCATTCTATCGAGTAATATTGGTCCACTTTAGAAACCAACCTTTATTCTCTTAATAGCCCTTCTATTTTCTAGGTTAAAAAACAAAACAAAACAAAAACAGATCCTAGATCCTGCACATGACAGAGACGTATATCGGTATATTTGTCTTTCTGAATCTGACTAATTTTGCTTAATATGAGTGAAACTCTAGTTTCATTCATTTTCTTGCAAATGATATGATTTTTGTTTTCCTTTATGGCTGAATAATTCTTCAACGTATGTATGTATGTATGTATGTATGTATGTATGTATGTACATATGTATATACCAGATTTTCTTTGATAGGCACCTGGGCTGATTATTTAATTTTCCTGTTGTGAATAATTCTGCAGTAAATGTGGCTGTGCAGGCATCTCTGGGGTCTGCTACCTTAGATTCCTTTGGGCATATGTCCAGGAGTGGTACAGCGTATCATATAGTAGTTCTACTTACAGTTTTTAGAAGCCTCCATACTGATTTCCATAGTGGCCCAATGTATATTCCCACAAATAGTGGTAACTTCCCTCTGATTCTCACTAGCATGTGTATTTATTTATTCATTTTTAGGACAACCATTCTGATGGGGAGAGATGGAATCTCAATGTAGTTTTGATTTACATTTCCCTGTTGGTCAAAGATGCTGAACATGTTCCATGTATTTGTTGGCCATTTTTATATCTTTTTTGTCTTTTTCAAACAGGGTCTCCCTGTAGCCCCAGCTGTCCTGGAACTCACTGTGTAGACTAGGCTAGCCTTGAACTCACAGAGATTTGCCTGCCTCTGCCTCCCAAATGCTGGGACTACAGGTGTGTGCCACCACACTCGGCATTTTTATATCTTTTAAGAGGTATCTGTTCACTTTGTTTATCCATTTATTTATTGGCTTATTTGTTTGGGTAAATTTCAGGAGTCCATTCTATATTGTGAATATTAGTCCCTTGTTGAATGACTAGCTGGTAAAAACTTTTTCCCATTCTGTAGGCTATTGCTTTACTTTGATAATTAATTTTCTTGCTATATAGAAGTCTTTCAGTTTGTTGCAGTCCCATTTGGTAATTTGTGCTATTATTTCTTGAGCTGTTAGAATCCTGTTCAGAATGTATTTGCCTATGCTTACATTTTGAAGTAATTTCTCTATGTTTTCCTTTAGTAGTTTAAAGTTTCAGGCCTTACCTTAAGGTCTTTGATCCATTTTGAATCAGTTTTTGTACGGAGTAAGAGACAGGGATCTAGTTTCATTTGTCTACATGTGGATGACTAGTTTTCCCAGCACTGTTGTTAAAGAGGTGTGTGGTTTTGGCACCATTGTCAAGAATCAGGTGGCTGTAGCTGTGTGGGTTTATGTGTGGGTCCAATTCTAGTCCATTGGTCCATGTGTCTAATTTTCTACCAGTACCACCATGCTCTGTAGTGTATCTGAAGTAGATATTGTGATAACTTCAATGTTGCTCTTTCTTGCTCAGGATTGCTTTGACTATTCAGTTTATTTTATATATTTTGGGATTTTTTTCCTAATTTTAAAATTTTTATTACATTTATTTATTTGTGTGTGTGTGTGTGTGTGTGTGTGTGTGGCCATGGCATGCATGTGGATATCAGAGGACAATTGGCAGGAGTCGGTTCTGTCCTGCTACTTCCTAGGTCCCAGGGATTGAACTCAGGTTGTCAGGCTTGGCAGCAAGTGCCTTTACCTGCTGAGCCATCTCACGGCTCCTGTTTTTCTATTTCTGTGAAGAATGTTATTGGTGTTTTGATGGTGATTATGTTGAATCTATAGATCACTTTTGGTACTATTGCCATTTTGACATTTTCAGTTCTGCTGAATTACAAATCAACTTTTTGAGACTGTCTTGCTGTATTGCCCTGACAACCCTGAGTCAAGTGATTCTCCTGCCTTGGCCTCCCAAATACTGGGACTAGAGACACAGGCCACTTTACTCAGATACAAGCCAATTTTGAATTCTTTCCCATTACTAATCTAAGAGGAAGTCCAGGCCTTCATCCTCACATACAAGGCTCTCCTGAGTCTGGTTTCTGACACTCCAACTTCATCTTCTTCATAATTTCTCTTAAGGTCATGTTCTGGCCATGTCACATCCCTGCTGGAACCCCAAATGGTCTAGGCTCCCTTTGAGTCTCTTTGCCTGGCCAGGCTGCTTGGCTTCCCTAGGGTGCTATTCCCCCTTTGGAGTATCTAGTCAACTCTAGCTCATTTTTCCCATGTTGCCCTTTTATGTCTTCCCTGACTTTATTCCCACCACAACCCAGGGTTCTTCTTTTGTGCCTTACCTGCTCTTGGCACATACTTCTGGCCCTATCCAGCACTACCTCTCAGCCCCCATCCCTGGGGTAGGTTGGGCTTAGGTAGCCCTGGGTATTTTCTGCCTTGATTCTTGCTCTACTTTCTTAATTGGGATCTTAGCCTTTGGAACCATTTTCTGTATTGTGGCTCTGAAGTCTAAAGTGATCACACTGAAAACATCAATCTAGGTGTGTCACTGTCTGGCTTAAAACTACCATATAAATTAAAAGCCAGACTTTTCAACAGACGAAATTAGTTTGCTGGTGAAGCAAAGGGGAGAGATCTTTATTTCTCAAGATCTTGACTTGTCCTTTTGTCCTTACTCAGCAGCCCCTCTCTCCTCTTGCCCCCCCGCCCCAACACTACCACGTTCCCTGTAGGGGACATTTCTAAAATCAGGATTTCACTGCTGAGGTCTAAAAGCTATCCATGAAAACAAGTCAACAGCCTTGTTTTTCTATTTCTGTAAAGAATGTCATTGGAATTTTAATGGGGAGCATACTAAATCTCTAGATTGCTTTCAGTAACAGCCATTTTCTCTGAGATCAGGTGCAGAAGAGCCTGTATGGCAGGAGGACAGCTCTTGAAGGAGGCTGGGAGACCGCTCACTTCTAGATTACACCTTGAAGATACTCCAAACCTCTCAGGACACCCCAGGAATGGGGTGAATTCTGCAGTGAATTCGGATCCCCTGACGCTTAAGTGGAATGGACCAGGGAGTATCCAGACTTACAATCCAAGGTTGTAATTTCTTTTCTTTTCTATTCTTTTTGTCTTTTTGAGACAGGGGACAGGGTCTCCCTGTAGCCCCAGCTATCCTGGAACTCACTATGTAGACCAGGTTGGCCTTGAACTCACAAAAATTCACCTGCTTCTGCCTCCCAAGTGCTGGGATTAAAGGCGAGGGCCACTACACCCCTCAAAGGTTGTAATTTCTTATAAGAAATAGTTTCTCACCTCTATTCATTGACCCAGAATTTGCTCTTTAAGCTGAAAGCCAAAATAAAACAGTGCAATAAATATCACAAGGTAGCAATAGGATTAACCTTTCTTCCCAAACAATCATTGAGGTGTCTTAGGCTTAGGGGTGATTTTGCCTTTCTTGATATCTGTTGGGGACCCCTGCTGTCTAAGGTAGCAGTCTCTACATGTCCAGATAGCCACAAGCTGGCTCGGCGTTCATATGCAGAGGCTCCCTTTCTCAGCTGGGCGCCTTCCTGCTCTCTTCCTGACTCACCTTTTGAAGTGCTCGTCACAGATACATGTCCTCTGGCATGAAACTGCCAGGTTTTCCTGTGTGATAATCAGGCAATGTCTGACAGCCTGGCAGAAGCCCACCACCACATGTAAATGGGGCATCCTACAAAGCACCTATCAACTAAGGCTTTTGCTACTGCCCCCACACTATAAATATCCGGTTTCCCCTAATGAATCGGAGCTGAATCACTAAGATCTGGAGCTGAGCTGAGTCACTGAATAAAGGAGCTGTACCACTGAGTCTGACTGAGCTGAGTTCTGTGTCTTACTGCCTACGATTCAGTCTCTCCGGAGGGGGCTGTCCCTTTGTAAACAACGACTCCCGGAGATCTTCTTGCACCTCCCCTCGTGATCTGGCGGCCAGCGGATTGCCTACCTCTAGGGAGTGCCCGGTAGCTTGGAACAGAACTCACCTGGAAGCGCAGCGACCGCTGAGTCGCCAGCATCCAGTAGACGCAGAGAGCCAGGGAGCCGAGGAGCAACGCAGTGCCCGGGACCGCCCATAGATATCTAAGTCATGTGGAAGCTGCGCTGCCTGAAAGCCCAGGGGCGCAAAGGACAGATATTTCCCACCACTGGCTCTCTCAATTGCCTCCTGCAAATCTAGTCAGACCTCATGCCATGTGCCCCGTCTGGACCTAGAAACCACATGATGTGTGCCCCGTCTGGACCTAGAAACCACAGCAACAGTCACCCCCAGTGTGGAGTGAGGCCTGCAGCCCTCCCTCTTTTACAGAGTCAGGAAATTCTTATAACCACCTGTACTCTTGATGGGGAAGTTCTGCCTTACTCCTCAGCCTTAAGTCACTGCCTTTCAGGCAATCAGAGGAAGACTGGAACGATGCTAATCCCTAGACTTCAAGCTGCTCCTGAACCTTCATTGCCATCAGCAATCAAATAAAAAACTAAAATCCTATAATGCAAATTTGCTGTTGAAAAAAGTGCAGAGTGGTTGCTATTTATTGAATTGCTGAATCAACTCTGTGCCCGGCATTTAGTTTGGAATTTGATTGGCTGCTTCTCTTTGCTAACCTCTAGATTGGCTCTGCCCACCCAGCAGCTGTCTGCACCATCTGCAGTGTGTGCTAGCCCTTTGAGTCTGTTTGTCCTGTAAGAACTGTTAAAATTAGAAAATGCGCTTTATTTGAAAGCCCGAGAACATGTGGAGACCGGATCACACTTCCTTAGCATCCTTCGGGTGGCATGCTCTTGTGAAGCTGCTTACTGTGACAGGGGCTGCTCCAGACCTTCCATCCCAAGGCTGGGCTTGATACAAACAGCTGCGGAGTCCAGAGAACTGAATATTAAAGTGTTCTTGAATGTTTTCAAGGGCAGCGATAACAGGTGATAATTTACTCTTAGACTGTGACAACTGCAGTTCCCAGCTAGTGACTTGCCTGGGCTTGTATCCAGATACTATTCCCTGTCTCATCTCAGTCTGCTTTTTCTTTTCTCCTGCTTGCTTATTTTTCTTCTTTCCTCTCCATCTGCTACAAACTTTTCTCCCTTTCTTAACTCATTAAGGTGTAAGGTTGCATTATTGGATACATTGTTTCTTTTTTTGGTGTGTGTGTGTGTGTGTGTGTGTGTGTGTGTGTGTGTGTGTGTGTGTGTGTTACTTTCAATAGTGCCTGGACTAAACTTTGAATGCTTTCCCTAAAAAACCTAAGAAACAAAGTCCACCTTAAGCTGCATTTTACTAGTATATGCCTCAGGTGGTTTTTCTGTTGTATGAGGCCCTCACATTCTACTGCCCTGATCATAGATAAACGGTGGGAAAAATGACTTTTGCCCTAGTCAGCGTTGTCTACAGGCAGACAGGATGAATAGTGTGAAAGGGTTTCTTCTTACCTGCTTCTTATAAGAGAAGGATACGTCTTTACCAAGTAGTCAGAGATGTTCCTGTCCATGAGGTCTTGTAGGATTTCAGTGCTGCGCTTTCTCTGAGGCCAAGAGACACAGTCAGTATTTTGGAATTTGAGAACTTCTAATTTGTAAAACTCCTGATCTCCAAAAATTATTTATGGACTCAGCTTCTGGAAAATACTAAACAAAGCACTGACACCTTCCCAGCGCCCTGTGAGGTGGGCATCATTTTTGGTTCCTCACACACACTTTTTTCTCAATCCACTGACAGTTAGGTTGGCTTAACTGCAAAATAAATCTCCACTCTATGTGTCTCTCCCATTCCAATCTTGCCACCCTAGTCCAAGCCACCACCTAGATCTCTACAAAAGGTCCCTGACTCACACTTGGTCCTGTACATTCTGCTTTCTACCCCCATGTCAGATTGAGCTTGAAAAAGAGAAATTATCCAGTAGTTACCTTCAGTAAGCCCCAAGGCCAAATCCAATCTCATTAGCAAAGCTCCATCTAATCTGGCCTTCCTCCCTCTCTGAACTCACCTGTCCTCACCACCCCAGTTTCTCAGTGGGCATATCTCATTCTTGACACAGCTTTGCACTTGGTACAAAGAAACTCTGCCTGGAAACCCTCCCTGTAGAGCCTCACATGCCCAGCTCTCAGGCCAGGTTCTATTCTTCTGAGGCGAAATGTCCATTTGGAGTCCCTCTGTGACCCTGTCACAGAGCTCATCTCCATATGAACCGTTCCTTTGCCAGAATCTACTCCCTGTTTCTCTGTTATCTCCTGTGTGACAGCATCTCTGTGTGAGCAGAAATTTTCTCTGACCTGTTGGCTTTTGTGTTTCGAGGACCAGACTTGTGGCTGGCACTCAATAGATTTGCAATACAAATGAAATAATTTGAATAATGCCTTACATTTTACAAATCACTTAAAAATATATTGAGGACTGGAAAGTAATCAGGAGATTTTGGAGAATTCAAAAGTGTATGATTTGGGGGACTAGAGAGATGACTCAATGATTAAGAGCACTGACTGCTCTTGAAGGAGACCTGGGTTTGAATCCTAGCACCCACATAGCAGCTAACAACCATCTATAACACCAGTTCCAGGGGATCCGACACCCTCTTCTGTCCTCTGTGGGCAGTGCATGACATTGGTGCACTTTTATACATGCAAGCATAACATACACATAAAGTAAAAATAAAATAAAATTTAAAAATTTTTTTAAAAAAGCACTGGCTGCTCCTGCAGAGGACCCAGGTTTGGTTCCCAGCACCTACAAGGTGGCTAACAACCATACATAACTCCAGTTCTAGGGTATCTAATGCCTCCTTCTTGCCTCTGTGAGCACTGCAGGACACAGGTGCACTTACATAACATGCAAGCAAAACACTCATAAGATAAAATATAAAATTTTTAAACATTATAAAAAATTTTAAGAAGTGCATGATTTTGGCCACCAGGTGGCAATATCATACAGTTACATTTCCTGCATTGGTCAATTTCATAGGCCAGCTGCGAACCTTGAGCAAAAGCATTCACTTTGTCCAGGGAGTCACATAGAAGTGGCTGATAGGATTCAAGGTGGCATTAAACCATCAACATGCACCATTCTTTTCTTTTGCATGTTTTCTTTATTTTTGATTGAATTTTTGCAATTTTCATACAATATAATTGATGGTATTTATATCCCCTTACCTATCCACACCTCCTCTTCTTGCCCTCTGTTCAATTTACTGTACTCATATATATATATATAAAATATTATATATAATAATACATATAGAATCTAATTTGTGCCCCCATATATCTTTCAGTGTGGGTCCACCCACTGGGGCCTGACTAACCTACCGAGTCCCATCTTTGAAAGAGACTGTCTCTCCCCTTCCCAGAAGCCATCAGTTGCCAAAATTTCCTTAAGTTGGGTTGGGGTTTCTTACCCACTTCCCCATGTCTATGCTGGGGTTTTGTCTGGTTTGAGCTTGCATGGAACTTGTGCATGCTATCACCATTACTCTGAGTTTATATGAGTAACTGACCAGCTGTCTGGAAAACCTTGTTTCCTTGTGGTTACTTCTGGCTCTTAAATCTTTCCTCCCCCTTTTCCTCAATGATCCCTGAGCCTTGGAAAGCAAAAGTTTGGTATAGGTGTCCTAGTCAGGGATAAACACTGTAAAGCTTCTTGTTCTCTGCACATTGACCAGTTGAGGGTTTCTGTGTTAATCACCATCAGCTACATAAGGAAACTTCTCTGGTGAGAGTTGAGAGATGCATTCATCTATGGGTATAACAATAAGTCATTAGGTATCAGTTTAACATGGTAATTATTTAGCAGAAAGCTAGTATTAGGCTCACCTCTATGTCCTGTGACCTGTCTAACCTCAGGTTCCTAAGCCTGATATTAATGTCAAGTAGGGGCTCCATCCTATGAAATGGACCTTAGGTCCAATTACAGAGTAGTTGGTCATTCTCATAATATTCATGCCACCATTGCACTGGTGGGCATATCTTGCCAGGTCAGTTGCTATTGTAGGTCAGAGGATTCACAGCTGGGTATTATTGATAACTATTTTTTTCCTTCTGGTACCATGCACAGCACCTTTCCAGCACTATGAACACTAACCAGTAGAGATGGGGCTCTGAAGTTCACACTAGCTTGATTTCTCTTTGTTTGTTCTACAGCTCATGTATGTAGTGTCTTCTTCGATAAGATCTTACCATTAACTTCTGGTGGATAACCAAGATCAGGGGCAATGACCAGCATTGTTGGACAGTCTATGAGACCCCTGATCAACAGCTTTTAGAGAGGCAGTCTATTCCTGGCATTGAGGTGCTTTTTTGCATTAGCCTATGATATCTAGAAGGAGCGTTGTTCCCCTGTTATAGTGTAAGTCCTTTTAATCTCTTTTTTTAATGTATGTGTATAAACTTTAAGAAGCTTTTATAGTAGGCTTTCATATGGCTTTTCCAAAAGACCTTTAAGTGTTACTTACCCTCTCCATATTCCCTTCTCTGCCCCACCCTCCCATTCCCCACACCATCTAACCTTTCTTTCATATCACTGCATTCTACCACCCCTCCGAGGAAGCCTCCCTTTCCATGGCCATCTATTAGTTTTTGACCTCTCGATTTTCAAACTGAAACATGCATTCATATGATTTCTCTATCTCTCCCTTATCCCACTTGATTCCTTCCTTAGTTCAATTTCCTCACCTTGTTCCTTCTCTGCTAGGTGAATTACAATCACTGAATTCCTACTGTGTACCTAGCACTATGTTAACTGCTCTGTGTACATGATCTTACACCTGATGCTTTCACAAGCTAGAAGTCTACTGACAGAAAGGGAGGTTAAGAAAAGTTGGCCAACTTGTACCGGTTACTTCTTATCAGAATTTGTATGTGGTTGATCTACAATACGAGCCTTCCTCTGACTCCAAAGCCCATATTTTTTGCCAGTCTGTCGCCTGACCACAATACCCAGCCAAGAAGCCCTGGTAGGATCTCGGCTGAAACTACTGATGCCTGCGACCATTTGTGACAAACTGTTTCCTAAAAATTCTGTCAACATATAACATTCTTACTTTATCTCCATGTAGAGGTCATGGATGGGGCGCTTCCACATCAGGACCCACAACCACTGAAGGAGTGGTAGAGTGGGAAGGAAGGGATGCCACAGGGCATGGCACCCACCACCCCTGAATCAGGCCTAACCCTTCTACTCTTATTCCAGCTGGATGGGAAAGTGCTAAGTGAGGGTGAGTGGACGTGAATGCAAGCACTCGTGTGTGTGCATGTGTGTGTATGTGTACACGTGTGAGGGGGGATGGGGAGACAGAGAGGCTGTGTAGATGTGTGACATTCACTTTTGCTCCGAGAGAGATGAATGATAGTGGGGGAGCATAAAGGAAAGTCAGTCTCTGGTGTGCCTTCTCTAGGACTTCAGCCGCAGTGGTTTACTGAACTTCTCCCCAGGGACCAAGGACCAATGTATTGAAGGTAAGTTTCAAAGTTAGACAGGCAGCTTTGGAGCTAGGATTCATTTAGGAAATGAATCCTTTGTAGCAAGGTTTGCCTTTTTCTTCTCCCAGCCTAAACCCTAGGGAACCAGGGATCCTTGCGATGTGGCTGTGTAGTTGTGAATCAAAGAGAGAATGTATTGTTTGAGAAACATAAAGGTGTATGCTTTACAATCAAAAAAAAGGATTAACATAATCATTTATGAGCCGGCAACTGCGATGGATGCTATGGTAAGATTTAGCTGTCCATTATCTGCTCTTCCTGACATCATTGTGCTTTTTTATTAGGTACAAGATACTCAGAATTAAGGTGATAGCCCTTAGTGTCCCTTGATGCTAGGTCCTGTCAGGTGACACCTGAGTGGAAGAGCTATATGGTAGCTTCTGAGACTCTTCTTTGCACACATGTAAACCCTTTGTTCTCTCTTTTCTGTCATCCCTTCTTCCACTCTACTGCCTGCAAAGAACAGTCTGACACCCTAGCTATAGAGTTGGAGTCCAGGTTGGCTCAGAGGCACAAAGGAAAAAACACTGTGGACCACCCACATCAACTTTTACATGCACAAGGAGCAAGCTATGTCTTGTTTTATCCATGGTTAGGCTAGAGTTGTCAGCACTGATGCTAATCCTAAATAATTCATTACTCACATTATTACATTGAATCCTCATAACAATGCTATGAAATAAGTGCATTTCTCCCTAACCTCTAAGACAGACAATGAAGGCTCAAAGTCCAAGTAGCCAACCCATGACTCCCTGACTCCCACCTGAGCCTTCTCCCTGCAACACATTGCCTCTCTGGGAATCACTCATTCACTGAGAAATCATGAGAGCCACCCAAGGTACTCTGGATAAGTAATCTGGGAGGGAAGCTGTTACCAACCAAAGACAAAGTGAGGCACTTCTTCCTTGAAGGTAGTCTCTGAAACCTTCAAGAGGACTCTCTATGGTTTAGAGTACACAGCTTTAAGACAACTGTTCAGAGTATGATCAATGACAAGACATCCTTGCAAAAGATACACAGTGGGCTGTGTGCATGCAGGTACACATGCATATTAAATACAGAACACATAGTCAATTTCTTTTCTTTTTTTTGTGGTGCTGAAAATCAAACCTAGGTCATTATCATCTAGAAAGGCATTCTACCACTGAGTTCCACCTCTAGTCCCCATGGTAGGCCTCTTAATTAAAATTCTAATCAGTATATAACTATATTGTCACTTGAATGTACATCATATCATTATTTAGAATGGAGAAAAATGGGAAGCCCAAATGACCAACAACAGGAAATAATTTAAAATTAATCCAAGCACTGGAATACTATGCAGATGTTAAAATAACGTAGGTATGTATTTATTGAGATGGTTGCATGCTTGTGACATGTTATAAAGTTAAAAGCAGTTTCCAAGACAATATTTTGAATGTAATCTTGTTCATGTGTTATTGATGGGTATCTTCAAGTTAAGTAAGCACTTATCTGTGCTTACTATTTTTCATCTACAGAAAGAGCATAGATGACTTTGCATAATTTTTATTTATTTTTTGTTAGATTAAATAGGAAGTACTTGGTGGAAAATGAAGCATTTGTCTGTGACTTCTAGGTGGTCCTCTGGGAGCACCTCTGAAGGACCCAGGGAACTAGGTACCTTTAACTCCTAGCTCACCTGTCAGTGAACCAGAGGCTCAGGAGGTAACACACTATGGTGGTTTGAATGAGAAGTGTCCCCCATAGGCTCAAGTATTTGAACACTTGGTATATGATTCCCTGTTGGTGGTGTTTGAGGAGGGTCATGGAATCCCAGGGAGGTGCCACCTTGCTAGAGGAAGCACATCACTGGGGACTAGCTTTGAGAGCTCATAGCCTTGTCCCACTTGCAGTTTGCTTTCTGTTCTGGCTGCCTCTCCTGCCATGCCTGCCCTCCATGATGGACTCTTAATCCCCCTGGAATTGTAAGCCAAATAAGTTCTTCCTTCATAAGTTGCCTTAGTCATGGTATTTTATCACAGCAACAGAAAAGTAACTAATATACATACATTCCCTCATCCCTGCACTGGCAGGCAGATGGGGCCTGCATTTCCCATGGGATGAAAGTACCTGTGGGGGTGGGAGCCCCCCTGCACCCTTGGGGCATTCGGGCAACATGGTGAGCTTCTCTCTGGTGCTGCACTTGCAGGAGGGTGAGGGGTTGGCTGCTGTCCATCTCTGTTTCTGGAGTAGGTAGGTGATGTTTGGAGATACAGAAGGCATCTTCCAGGAGGCTGAATTACCACAGGGGTACTCCCTTGTGGAAAACAAGAAAATATTCCACAGTCAGTTCCACTGATGACTTTTTTAAATCCCTAGAAAGAAGGAAAGGTTGCCAGCTCTCCTCTCCTCTCCTTCCCTCTTCCTTGGAGCCATGAATTTTCCTTTTGGGGGTTAGATTCTGTTCACGCCTTTAATCCCAGCACTTGGAAGGCAGAGGCAGGTGGATCTTTGTGAGTTTGAGACCAGCCTGGTCTACATAGTGAGTTCCAGGACAGTTGGAGCTACAGGGAGACCCTGTCTCAAAAAGACTGAAAAAAAAAAAAAAGAGAAATATCAAGACTCAGGTTCTGTCGATGGTGAAGTACAGCCTAGGAAAGAACCATCATCTAGTTTGTGATCTCTCTCTCTCTCTCTCTCTCTCTCTCTCTCTCTCTCTCTCTCTCTCTCTCTTCTGTCTAGCAGCTCCGGTTGTGGAGACATGGAAAAATAACAGATGAATCTGAAATTTGTCTATTTTGATCTTTAGTGAAAGCTTTAGGAAAGACTGGATGAAAGAAGGAGTCAAAATTATATTGAACAGTAAAGAAGCCTGGTAGATTTCAGATATCTTTACAAGTCCCTTTCTATACTTATGACTGAAAGCTGGAGAAAAGTAATTAGTGCCATTCAAGGTCCAGTTATACAAAAGGATATTCTTCATTTCCTTCCATTCCTGTTCAGAGTCTGTTCAAAAGAGTTTTGGGGAATCATGCCAAACCAAAGAATTTTCAGATTGAGATACATACATCTGTCCAATGATGGAGGCTTCCTAGGACATAAGTACTCACAGAGGTGTTGAAGGAGAAGCTGGATAGGTGCTGATCAGAGAAATGAAAGTGACCCACATAATACAAGGCAGGATTGAGGGGTCTTTCCCAACCCTTCCAGTGTGGTCATTGAGGTCTCCCAGGGGAGCTGTTGGTGTTAGGGCAGGACTTACAGAAGCCATTCTTCCTTTAGACAGCAGTTGCCAAAGCCTGGCCTGTTCAGGAGGATGTCTGCCAGGACTTCGAGGTGTTCACTGTTGGGCTCATCCATGCTAGACAGAGACAGAGAGGCTCACATGACCAGGACAGGGTGGACAAAGCTAACATCGAAGTGTTTGCAAATGGCTATTCCATGCCAGGCATGTATGTGAGGCACTGAATACTGCCTTAGAATGTATAGGTCTCCTGGGAGTAGGGGAGCCTGCCACACACATCTAGAAGTCTGACAGCAGATCATCTATACCTCAGAGACATGGAGCTTCAACCCACTTTCCCAAATTTCACACCCTCTTTCCTTATCCCCTTGCTCTGGGTGGCACGTTGCTAAGCAGTATATTGGCTTCCCTTCTAAAAGCAACTCCCAGGACCCCTTCCGCACTGGTGAAGATGCCAGGGAATTGGGAAGGTCAAGGCCCTTCTGACAAGCATGTGGGCCAGGAACACTACATCTCAGAGGATGACAGTGAGCCCCCAGGATGAATCTTCACACCTGAAGAAGGTGTACTGCTGTCTGTACATCCAGGCGTGAAGGGTCAAAGCTGGAAATTCTCCAAACGGAGGCATGATGATGGAAAGTGTCAGAGCCAAAACCATAAAAGTGGCAGGAAGGATAGTCTGTAGGAGAGTAAGGATGGAGACACAGGCTAGGGTACAACAGATGATACACACATGGAGGTAGGCATGCACATGGCACATACATACCTGTACCCATGCATGCATGCACACTCATTTTTTAAAAGCATTTATCCTACCACTTCATAATAAGATGCTGTGGGTGAATGATAGGTTTCTGGGGGAGCATGACGGGCAAATGTAAAAAGGCAAGATATTTGGAAGAAAATAGAGTGTTTCCGTAGCCATCTAAGAATCTGAATGTAGGCTGTGCACAACCAGAGGCTAAAGAGTAGTTCAAAAAGCAAATCACATTACTTAATGCTCTTTGTACCAGAGTTCTTTTTTTCTGAATGAAAAACATAGAGGAAAGGCTGGGGATGCAGCTCAGCTGGTAGAGTGTTTGCCTAGCATGCACAGGTCCTGAGTTCAGTATCTAGCACTACATAAAACCGAACTTAGTGATGCATGCCTGCAATCCTAGCACTTGGGAGGTAGAGGCAGGAGGATCAGGAATTCAAGGTCATCCTCAGCTACATAGTGAGTCTGAGGTCAGTCTGGGATACTTGAGACCGTGTCTCAGTGTCTCAAAAGAGGACAATGGTCTTTATCTTCAGGGTCATTAGAAAAATGAATGAAAACATAACTTTACCTTTTACTAGGAAAATAAAAACAATACCCACACACTCAGTACTATCCTATTTTTTATTTCTAAGAGAGGTCCGGTGCTCACAAAGGTTTGCTATACTCAGAATCAAAATAAAGGTTAGGGAAGGAGGAGGCAAAGCTGACAGGAACTGAGGATGTTCTGAGCTGTGTTTGAAACCATATGTGTGAATGCTCAAGGGAGGATGAAAAGGCAGGATGGGCACCACGGAGCCTGGGAGCAGTAACTGAGTTCAGCCGGGGCCACAATGATACCTGAGCCAGGAAGTCCTTGTGGCTGCGGACAGTGTGGTGGAATCTCTTGACTAGCAGTGCTTGTACATATTGGAAGATCAGTGGAGCACCTGTGTTGAGTGGAATGCCAGGTTCCTTGGGTTCTGCGGAAGGCTGGACCTTGGCATGAGTGGCTTGCTCCAATGAATAGGTGTGGGAGCTCTGGGTCTCATTGGGACCCAAACAAGGGTGTCAGAGGCTGACATGTTCCCTTTTTTTGCTGAGTGCCACCTATTTAGGGAGATTGAATCAACTATTTGGAAAACCAAACATAACAGATCTTACATGCAGCTTTTTTTCTTACATCATCAGTTACCTTTCATTTAGAGAAGCAACAGAGCATAGAGGTTAATATTTTTGTTGTTATTTGAGACAAGGCCTCACTCTAGTCCAGCCTGACCTAAAACTCTCTGTAGCCCAGGTTGATCTTGAACTCACAGCAATTCTCCTACCTCAACCTCCCTAGTGCTAGGATTATAGGTGTTAGCCACCTTGCCTGGCTTTTTATTTTATTGTTATTTTTGTCCAGGCTGCCCTTGAACTCTTAATCTTCCTGTCTCAGCCCCTCAGAACACTGGGATTATTGGTATGTACCTTTGACAAATAATATTTTTGGGTTTTGTTTTGATTTGTTTTGCTTGAAACAGGGTCTCCTTCTAGCTCCAGCTGATTTGCAACTGGCTATGTAGACCAAGATAGATTCCATCTCAGAGATCTGCCTGTCTCTGCCTCCGAAATGCTGGAACTAAATGTATATACCACCACATCCAGTGGCAAATAATATTTTTAATAATCCATTTTCCACTGTAAATTCTCTATAGATAGAATCACCTGAAATTACTTTGAATTCTCCATTAGCACTAAAGAGAATTAAATAGTTCTGATTGTATGGCATAAAATGAAATCTAAAACAACTCAGTGCAAAACAAATAAGGTGCAGAATCATCTGTGTGCCTGGCTTACATTTGTGTTAGAAAGTTTCTATGTCACAAAAATAAATGATATCTTTTAAAAATAT